CAGGCTCCAGGCTTAGTGTTCTTTCCCTCAGACTCATGCTACTTTATAGGCACAAAGCCAAGGAGACAGGAATCAGCAGGACGTGTTTAAGGGATCACTGAGTAGAACAATCTAATTAGAGCAGAGGGTTCTCAATAAGGATCACTGGGAGGTACATTTAGAAATTAAGGGTTCAGGGGCAGCTAGGTGGCACAGTGGATAGAGCATCAGCCCTGAAGTCAGGAGGACCTGAGTTCAAATCTGGCCTCAGATCAAACACTTGACACTTACTAGCTGTGTGACCCTGGGCAAGTCACTTAACCCCAATTGCCTAAAAAAAAAAGAAAAAGAAATTAAGGGTTCACAGATTTAAGAGCAGGGAATTTAGAGGCTACCAATTCTACCCTCTTGTTTTACAGATGAGGAAAATCTAACAAGTGTCTGAAGCAGTATTTGAACCCTGTCTCCTGACTCCCAGTCCAATGCTCTATTCACTACTGCTTATTCCCTCCAATTTTGTACCACAGTGCTGAGGGACCTTGAGCACCAAGCAAAGGAATTTGGAGGTTTTTTTTATTGGCAATGGGGAACCAACTGAAGATTTGAGGATAAGAAAAAAAAAAACCAGCTGTGTGGCCATAGGCAAGACACTTAACCACCATGAGACTCAGATTCCTCATCTATAAAATGAGAATAATATGAAACTAGTACTTTCCTGACACAGCTGTTGTATAAGGAAACACAATCACAAATGCAAAATGTTTTTAAAAAAATTAAAGTTCTATGTAAATCTCCCCTTTTATTATTATTATTATTGGCTAAGAATACTAATATGCTAGAGGAGGAAAGAATGGATTGGATATGAGAGCCACTGGGACAAGAAAGGAAGGAAACAAGTATTTATTAAGCACTTACTATATGCTAGCTGTGCTAATCGTTTCACAAATATTATCCTGTGTGATCCTCACAACACCATTATTATCTCTATTTTACAGTTGAGGAAACTGAGGTAGACACCGGCTTAAGTGACTCATGCAGGATCACACAGCTAGTAAGCATCTAAACCCTGATGGAAACTCAGGTCTTCCTGACTCCAGGCTGCCCCTAGAGAAAAGGAGACTTTCAGTATGTTTTCCATTCATCACTCACAGCAAACTGGTCACATATTGGCATTTGGATAGCTTCAAGTATTGTTAATAGAAGTACCTATGTGACATTAACCATATTTGCAAGCTCAGGAGGAATAAGTACCACTGTGGTTTAGTGGAAGGACCACTGGATTTCAAGTCAGAAGACCTGGTTCTGAATCCTAGCTTGTGACTAGTCACTTATTCTTTCTCTAAGCCTCAGTTTTCTCATCCATAAAATGGCAGGGTTGGATTAGGTGATGTTTAATGTCCAAGCTCGACTTTTTATAATCCTACAGATTAAGAGATGTTGCTTAGGAAGGATTGATAAGATTCAATGACAGTCTGGATAGGAAGTGAAGAAGAAGGAATCAAAGATGGCTTTTTGACATGCATCCTTGTTCATTGATTGCTAGGAGACAAGAGTATGCTGGATAAATGTCACCATACAGAAATGGGGCTCACCTCAAAGAGTGTCACCCAGAATTTCAGAACTAGAAGGGACCTCAAATGTTCTCTTCTCTAAATAAATCCATTCATTTTTATACATGAACAAAAGACTAAAAAAAGGCTGGGAGGAGTTTAGGGACTTGTTTCAGGTCACATGGGTAGTAAGTAGCAAAAATAAGACTCAGTTGAGGTCTTCTGATTCATCTCTACCAAATAACGTCTTTCAAGCCTAGTGTCAGAAAGACTCGTCTTCCTGAGTTCAAATCTGGCCTCAGTCAATTCCTAATTGTGTGACCCTGGGCAAGTCACTTAACCCTGTTTGCCTCTGTTTCCTTATCTGTAAATGAGCTAGAGGAGGAAATGGCGAACCACATTCGTATCACTGCCAAGGAAACCCCAAATGGGGTCATTAAAACATCAGATACAACTGAAACAACTCAGCAAAAACAACTGTCAACAAACAAATTGAGATATAATCTGGAATACTAAAGTATTAGTAGCCCTAAACTCTATCCACAAAGGGTGTTAAGGCAACTCGTTGTGGAAGGAGCTTTTACTTTGACTTCTATCAAATATTTCTCATAAAATTTTTTGGAGTGGTTCAAAACTCAACTTAACAAATATTTATTCTCTGAAAGGTAGAGAAAGTGATTCAGGAAATCACTATTTGTATATGATTCTTGAAAATGAGGAGGAACTAGCCCGTGATGCAGAAATGGCATGCAATTTAAGGGGAAGGTCTGTCTCTGTCTTAGACTTTTAGCAAAGCCAGGTATAGCCTGACATACTGGGTTGGGGGAGAATATGTTTCACAGAATTCAGAGAAATATACTTTGTGGCAATTTAATGGCAAATTCCCACGGATGGGAATTGTTTAGGAAAAGTAAGCCCCACAGACATGAGAAACTCTCAAAAATGAAATTCTGGAAACATAAATAAAAACAATTCTCATAGGGAGGAAAAGAAGGAGTTCTCTAAAGAGGCTCTTATAAATGTACATGGAACTCATCAGCCAACCATTATTTTAAAAGGACACATAGAAAAGATAGAAGGAGGGAAAGTAACAGAGGATGAATAGAAGAATAGTGTAAGGAGAACTGAGACTCAGAATGACCTGAGGTTGGTTAGGAATGATTAAGGATGACAAAAAGAGTGAGGCTTTCAAAGTCAGATTCTGGGAAAGAAGAGAAAAGGAGCATGATGGTAGATTGGACGATGACAATGCGTGACTGAGAGAAGGCAGAACATTGAATTCTATTTTGTTCTTGTTTTCTTGGCCAAGGACAATGATTTTTGGCCTGCAAAAGACAGGACAAAATGGGATAATAGGGAATTGAAAGCAAAAATAACTAACGAGGCGACTTCTTGTTGTTCAGTAGTGACTGACTCTTCGTGACCGCATTTAAGGTACCAACGTTACTGAAGTGGTTTGCCATTTCCTTCTTCAGCTCATTTGACAGATGAGGAAAGTGAGGCCTACAAGGTTAAGTGACCCTCCCAGGGTCACATAGCTAGGAAGTCTCTGAGGCCAGATTTGAACTCATGAAAAGGAGTTCCTGATTCCTAGCCCGGTGCTCTATGCACTGCACCACCTAGCTGCCCTTATTCTGAGAAGGCACTTAGCAAATGTGGAATAAATGAAAAAACATCCCTTCCCCTGCAACTCCTATGTCAATAACCTTAAAAAGTGTCCTCTCTTGGGCAAGCTAAACAGTTTTCCCTGTGACCTTTCTTATATTATGAATTTGCTCAGCCCAGAAATTGTCAAAGTGTGGTCCATGGATTCCTAACCTTTTGGAGGATCTGTGATGTCAAAATGATTGTCATTATAATACTGAAGTTATTTATATAATTCACACAAATAAAAATTCTGTGGGTTTATCCATAATGTTTAAAAGTATAAAGGGGTCCCAAAGCCAAAAAGTTTGAGGACTGCTGGCTTAACCAATCACAGGGCTTTTACCAGAGGATTGGTGACATGGCCAACATCACCCGGGAGGGTAGACAACAACCATTACTGGGGCTCTCTGAGGCCAAATCCATTACCCTTTTCCCCACACCATAGTGACTACAACTTGGGGAAAAGAAGTGGCATTGGTCAACTTTGAGGTGGTTTTTCATCTCTCCTGGAACTTGTGAATTTGTCAGCTTCTTGTCTCTCCAGTCATAAACTTTGTGCACCCCCTTTTGGAAGGGATTTATATTGCACCCCAGGTCATTTCTTAAAGTATTGAGTCTTGTTTTGATCAGCTGAAGAAAGATGCGATGGATTTTCCCATTGGATTTGTTTTCTTCCCCCTTACCCAGTTAATTTGAGTGTCACCTGAGTGTATTTTCTGATACATTATTGGTCCCAGCTGGACGTTAGCACTTTGCAAGGCACTTTGTACTTTTCTTTTGACCCTTAGGCTCTATTTTGTTTATATTTCAGGGAGGCTATGAACTTGGTGATGTGGACTTTCTGTATCACTATGGAGGCTGAGCCAACCACCTTGTCTCAGCCTGTATGATTATTGACCAGACCTTTCCGTAAACCATTGAGGAAGGCTCTACCCAATTCACTGGAGGCTTTCCCCTGGTTCTTTAAATTATTCCTGGACAACAAGGCTACCATGGGGTCTGTTGTTATAATAAAAAGATTTGTTCTGTGAAGTTTGGATTCAGTCAAAGGGCTGCACTTGAGGATCTAGAGGCCACAGGTTCCCCACCTTTGCATCCATTGCCCATCCAATTGCAGATCATGATATGACCGATATGGAATCTTTATCCACATTGCTTTTATGCTGTGGGGTTTTTATAGCTTAATCTGGTTCTGGCAACTATTTATTAACTATGTGACCTTGAACATACTACTTGATTTTCAATTAAATTCAATAAATATTTATTAAATGCTTACTGTGTACCAGGCACTGTGCTAAGCACTGGGGATACAAATTCGAAAAACACAGTCCCTGCCCTCAAGGCTTTCAATCAAAGGAAGCTAGGGGAAGGTGGAAAGGGGAATTTTGTTCCATGGAATTCAGACTAAGCGGAGTTGGAGATGGGTAGTGGAGTGAGGAGGGGGAGCTTTGGGAGTTTAGCGTTCCACCGTTCAGCTCTCTAATCCAAGGGGAGAAGAAGCTGTGGGAGTTGCAAGGTGCCTGAGTATCTAAGGTTAAGATAACCAGCATGATGAGATTTCCCTTGATTAGCTTATTCTAAGAAAGGTATTTTATGGAGTTCAGACCAAGGTGAGAGGGAGTTTCTTCATATGTAAAAAGAGATTTGGACTCATTAGCCTCTTAAACCCCTTCCATCTCTATATCTGTGGTTCTTTCATCATTCAGTCTCTGACCATGGATCCCACTGAGGAAGCCCTGTTGTGTTCTAGGGCTCAATGGCATCTCCAAATGGAACATCTAGATTGGAATCTCTCAGTTCATATGGAATTCCTCTTTGATTTAGGTTTTGTCCAGGATATCCTCCTTGACATTGGTGAATACATCTATCTGGTAAGTACATATTTCTTTCTTTCTTTCTTTTTTTTTTTTTGCTGTGCCTAACAATGTTCCTACTTGGCAGATGGTTGATCAAAGTCATACCCGCACTCATGTCCCTTGTGGAATCTTGGATGACTTTAATATGTATAAGAGAACACCTTGTTGAAGACTACATTTTGCTATTATTATCCCCATTTTACAGTTAGGAAATTGAGGCAAATAGAAGTTTAGTGACTTGCCCAGGGTCACATAGCTAATAAGTGTCTGAGGCTAGTTTTGAACTCGGGTCTTCCTGACTCTAGAACCAGTTTCAACTGTAGAAAATCATCCATGAAAGCCTGCCTGCTCCTTCCTATTTTTCATTAAGGAAACTCTTTATGTTTGCAGAGTCTGTTCTCGTGAACATTTTATAGATATGAAAAAATTAGTATGTTTAGTTGTTTGATTTTCTTGGCAGAGATGCTAGAATGATTTGCCATTTCCTACTCTAGCTCATTTTACAGATGAGGAAACTGAGGCTGATTGAGGTGGAGAGGGTGTCACAGGATAGTAGGGGTGGAGCCAGGTCTAGAACTCAGGTTTTCCATCTCCTACCTGATTTCCCTTTGAAAAGACTCAGTTCTTTATACAGTTCAAATATTGCTATGGAAAAAAAAACAACAACAACAATTACACAGTGAGTTCTTCAGGTGGAGGGGAAAATGTTGGAATGGTTTTCCAAGTGAGGTGCCCAAAGTGTGGATCTTTAGCAATCCTTGTAGTATTGGTGAGAGGGAAGCCTGTTAGAGTCTAAGGAAGGATTGGTAATTCTGATCTCCCCTGAAGTTAAATTTAAAAGTAAAGAAAAACACCCAGTAGATGTCGCCCTTATCCCCCTTTCTTCCAAAGACTCTTTGGATGAAAGAAGTTTTTCTAGAATTCTTTCTCTGAACAGCTCTGCTGTCTGCATCAAGGGTGTGAAATAAAACAAATATAAAATGCATATTTAATACAGATTGAGCACTGGGGATGCCCTGAATCCCAATAAAGGACCTGGAGGGGAAATTGCAAATTTCTGAAGAATCAAGGGGCTTGATTAGTTCTACGAAACCCCATCCTTACTCACTCAACACAGAAATCGCCATCAGGTATCATCTAGAAAGGGAAGTTAACTCTGCGGAAAAAAATAAATTAATGGTATGAGCAAGAAGACACTGGTGCTCAATACCTACTTACCAAAATGAAAATATTTTAACTTCTTGACTTTTAAGAAGTTGAACTTTTGTCCTCTTTCCAGAAGAAATGCTGATGAATGTCCTTGATTCAATTCAATTTAGATTAATTCAATTCAGTTCAATATATATTTATTTGTCCCAGTTACTTGCTAGGGATACAGAGATGAGATAATGGCTGCCTTCAGGGAACTTACAGTCTATTGGGGCAAATATTTGACCTACTGGACCAACCCAACAACTATTTATTGTTGTCATTCTTTTTTTTTTTTTTTCTTTTTTGGTGAGGTAGTTGGGGTTAAGTGACTCCCCTAGGGTCACAGAGCTAGTGTTGTGTCTGAGGCTGGATCTGAACTCAGCTCCTCCTGATTACAGGGTGGTATTCTATCCACTGCGCCACCCAGCTGTCCCTATTGTTGTCATTCTTATACCATTCTCATTCACCCTTTGCCCCCAAATAAAACTACAGAGGTAACACTTCTCTACGACTCTTGGTTTATATGTGACATTTCAATCAAATAGCAAAAAGAGATTTTTAAGGTTTTAGGGGCTAGCCTGCATGTGTAGAAATGTCTTATATTCCAGGCCCTTTTTTCTTTTTTTCAGTGGTGGGGCACATGATGGAGCCATATTTAAGTTTGAAGACATGCTGCCCAGGACAAAAGTTGTCTTGGCAAAGATACTAGAGGAGTTTGCCATTTCCTTCTCCAGCTCATTTTACAGATGAGGAAACTGAGACAAACAGGGTTAAGTGACTTGCCCAGGGTCACGCAACTATTAAGTGTCTTGAGGCCAGATTTGAACTCACAAAGATGAGTCTTCTTAACTCCAGGCCCAGCTCTCTATGCACTATGGCGCCACCTAGCTGCATCCTACTCTTCTCCAAATGAATGTCTAGCAGCCCCAACATGCTCCCACCACCAAATGTCAAGTCAAGGACCTAACACAGAGCCTAGAAAAGGGTGGTAGGAATTTCACAGAATCATATAATTACAGCATTGGAAGGGACATTGGAGCTCTTCTAATCCCACCCTCTTGTTTCATAGATGCAGAAACTGAAACTCAGAGAGGTCAAGTCACTTGCCTCTGGTCACACAGCTCTTAAGCATCAGAACTGGAACTTGAACTAGATTTCCTGACTCCATGACTAGAGCTCTTCCACCACACCATGTGACCTACAATAGCCCTTTGATGTTTTCTTTTTTTTTTTTTCTTTGGAGGCAATTGGGGTTAAGCGACTTGCCCAGAGTCACACAGCTAGTGCATGTTATGTGTCTGAGGCTAGATTTGAACTCAGGTCCTCCTGACTTCAGGGCTGATGCTCTATCTACTGTGCCACCTAGCTGCCCCTGCCTTTGCCATTTTCAAAGCATTTTTGCATATGGGATCTCATTTGAACGTAACTCATGGGTTTCAGAATCAGATCATCTAATCTAATTCTCTCATTTTACAGATAAGAAAACTGAGGCCCTGAGAGCTTAAGCCTTTTATTCAAAGTCCCAGCTTGAAAGTGTAGGTATATCTGAGACTGGAACCCAGATCTCAAACCAATACTCTCTCTACCTCCTGCCATTAAATCCAACACAAATACTTCTTATAAACCAATGCTTGAGTAATCTGTTTACCCTTTAAAGATCCTTTTAAAGGTCCTACATTTTATTTATGTGGGCATATGATTCGATGATCTTTCTGTATTACTGTTGAAATGAATTTATGTGATATGATACAATGAGAGGCACAGTAGTCTAGGATCTATGGAACTGGGCTGCCCTCACGTTGCTCTTTGACACTGGGCAAATTATTTTGCTCTGATCAAGAAGGCTTTAAAATGAAAAGGGAGGGGGAGGAAGAAAACTGTCCCAAGCCAATTCTAGAACCGTAAGGACTGCCAGGATTGTTGACGCACCTGGCACCCTCTTAGCACACCAATAAGTAGCAACAATCTCTTGACAAGAGCAATGGTAGAAGAGAGCACCAGTAATGCACTGATGGGTAAAAAAATCGGGGCAGCTAAGTGGCGCAGTGGATAGAGCACCGGCCCTGGATTCAGGAGGACCTGAGTTCAAATCCAGCCTCGGACACATCACACTTACTAGCTGTGTGACCCTGGGCAAGTCACTTAACCCCATTGCCCAAGCAAAACAACAACAAAAAAATCTAAGAAGAGAGCCAACAATAAAACTCATGGCCTATTTTATGCATATTTGTGCGCAAATGATGGGTGAAAACCAAGATAAACCTAGAGATTCTAATTTTTCTGAGCATCTTAGAAGAGAGGTAACCATGGGTGTGCTAGTAAATACATGTAACAATCAGGTTCTCCAGAAAATAAATATACAGACTTTTAAGTTTAATCCATCTTACTGACACTTTCTTCTGTTAATACATAATTAACAGCTCTAGACAATTGACAAAACAATAAATTGAGCCCTCATTTGTAGTTATTGCTGATCTCTGAGGTATAAAAGCTGACACTGAAGATTTAACAATTATCTCACAAGTAGATCAGAGCTGGCTTCAGCACACCCCTTGGGGTAACACCCTTGTTCTGCCAGGTATTGTCAAACTCAGTGCACCACAAGCTTACTGGGAACCAGTACTTGTAGGTTCTTTTGGTCTTGCACATTGAAAGCCTGGGAGATGAACCCCACAAGCCAAAAACGAAATTTTACTCCAAAGAAAGAAATATTTAATGGGCACCATGAAGCATAGGGGCTATTATGGGAATTCTGAAATCAGTAGCAAAAATATTATCAAGCAAATAAAAAATTGGGAATTATTAAAGTTCTTCACACACAACTTGGCCTATTTCTACCTTTCCAATCTTCTTACACTTTACTGCCCTCCACACACTCAATGATCCAGATACACTGGCTTGCGTACGATTCTTCAACCATGATATTCCATCTTTCATCTCCATGCCTGGAATGCTCTCACTCCTTACCTCTACCTCTTAGTTTCCCTGTCGTTCTTCAAGACTCAGTTCAAATGCTACCCTTTCTAAACGACCTTTCCTGGTCTTTCCAAATGTCTTACACTCTAAAATCACCTTCTACCTACTCTGTGTATCTTGTACCTATTTCTTTGCATGCTCTTTCCCCCATTAGAACATAAGCTCCTTGAGGGCAAGAACTGTTTATGCTCTTGTTTGACCTGCCACATTTAGCATAGTGCATGGCCCATAGTAAGAATTTAATAAATACTTATTGATAGGTTCATTATATAGAAATGACATCTATATAATGAAAATAGGATATCTAATGATAATTCTAGAAGTATTTGTTGTTGTTGAGTCATTTCAGTTGTGTCCAACTCTTTATGACCCCATTCGAGGGTTTCCTTGGCAAAGATACTAGAGTGATTTGGCATTTCCTTCTCCAGCTTATTTTACAGATGAGGAAACTGAGACAAGCGGGGTTGAGTGCCTTGCCCTGGGTCACATAATTCTAGAATATAAAGCACACAATTATTCCTGGTAGAGGATTACCTCTCCTAGGCTAGGGTTAGTGTATATAGGTATAAGGTCATACTGGAAAGAGCTCAGGCTTTGGAACTCAGATTCAAGCTCTGATTCTTCCTATGTGTGAGACTTTAGGCACGTCATTTAAGACCCCAAGGCCTCAGTCTGCTAATCTGTAAGATCAAGTCTTACTACATGACCTCTGAGGTCCCTTCTAGCTAATCTAGAATACTATACAACAGTTTTACCAAGTTTAAAAAAAAACAAGGATCCATTAAACTCTGCATGAGGATGCCCATGGGCTGCATAATGACTTAGAAAATTACCTATTAATATTGTCTGTGTTTTATTGTATTTTTATTTATTTTGTTGAATATTCCTCAGTTATGTTTTGATCTGGTTCTGACCACACTCACGGACCCATGAATTGCATGCATGACACCTCTGCTATATGGTACCATCCCAGCTTCCCAACTTTGAGAGAGGGAGAGACAGACAGACAGATAGGCTTCAAAGACATCCCTCCACTCCTTGGCTCATCTCTGTGTTAGAGCAGAACTCTAATGGAGAGTAACTTTGGGCCTCACTATTATTTCCTTATGGTCGCCCAGAAGGGAAGAGGGCACTAAAAGGTCAGAGAAGAACCAAGGGGTTATTGCTCTAGTGGCCAGTCAGAAAGAAGCCGGTGAGAGGAGAAGGTGGCTCCGGAAGACCTGTCTGAAACCCAGTCTCTTACTCCAGGACAAAGAAGGTCAAATGTTTCTAGTTATGTGCCTTCTTGCTACGCCCCAAGGCTATCCCTTGGCTCTTCCTTGTTTCACCAGAAAGTATCACAATATCTCCTCCCCCAACCGCGGTCTTCTGGTGATAGTTTCACCAGAGGAATGTGGTCCCACTTAATGAATATTCAGCTTCAATTTAGTCTATGTACTCACTAGGGGCAATAGCATTGAACCAACATGGCCCAATGTTATTTGTAATAGGAAGTTGCTTCTTCCATCCTTTCGATTCACCAGGCACCATTTTTGCTGGCTGAAATTAATAGGAGAGACAATACGATCCTTCCCCATCCAAACAGCTAAAAGGGGTCAGTTGTGAATTATGATATTGCCAGAGATGACAGGGAGTTACGGAAAACTTTTGACAAAACTCAGGAAGGTAAGTTTCTAACCATCACCAAGACCTGTGGAATAGGATTATTATTATTAGGATTAGGATTTGACTCTGGAAGGGTATTCCTTATTCAAAAGAAAGAGACTAGATATGAGATCGTGGAGCACCAAAGTAAGAATTAAATGAATATTTTAATTAAGTAAATTAAAAGCAAGTAAGTAAAAAAAGAAGTAATACTTATACTAGGAAATCCAGGAACCTGATAGAATGCCTTATTCATTTACGTATAGCACATATATTTATACTAATCCCGTACCTAAATCTAGCACAACTGAGAAGTTCTGCCTTGTCTCCACTGCCTATCCAAAAACCCCTACCTCCTCTACCAATCCTTCTCCTATTCCTCCAGCTCACACTGATGTCTGCCTTCCTTGAACCCCCAAAGACTCATTAGGAGAAAACAGAGTAGTATAGAGAATAAGAAAGTCTTGTTTTAAATCCTATCTTTGTTACTAGTTGTAAAAATCATTACCTGACCTCTCTCAACCTCAGAAGGTGTTGTCAAGGTCAAAATGGTCTCTGGCCTTGTGACAGAATGGTCATTGCCCAGCCCTTTTACATGAACCTAAGACCTCAGACCTTGGGCAGTTTCCAAACAGCCTGATGCAGAAGACTTTCCCCTAAATCTAACAGATGTCAGGATCAGGTTGAGGATTAAGTCACAACTATTAACCGAGGCAGAATCATCTGACACCCACCCCCACCCTTCACAGCAGATAGGGCCATAATGGATACTGATTACTAGAGTTTCAGAATGTGAATTGTACCTTTTTTGAAAAAAAAAAAAAGACTCATTAAAGAACTTTTCTCAGTTTGAGTCAAAGGTTCCTCTGAGACCATTTAATTTTCCATTTAGAATGACTGGCTTTCTAATACATATATGTAAATATGCAGATATGTATATTGCCATAGATATTGCTATTGATATATATTTTACATTTCTTAATAAGTGAATAAAATTTGTCAGGGGATAGAGAGGAAGATAAGTGACTATTTTCAAAGTAGCTTACGTAGCTCTTCTCCCCAAAAGTACATTTCTATGAGAAAGAAATACTGTCAAACACCTGAGGTCATCTAATCCACCCCATACCTGAGCAGGAATCCCCCTCTACCACTTTCTTACCAAGAAGTCACGCAGCCTCTACTTGAAGGGGAAGGAAATAAGCATTTATTAAGTGCCTACTAAGTGCCAGGACCTAAGCTAAGCACTTTAGAAATACCTTGTTTGAACTTGTTAACAACTTGAAAAAGTGCATCCTATCATTATCCCCATTTTACAGTTGAGGAAACTGAGACAGACAGCAGTTAAGTGATTTGCCCAGGGTCACACAGTTTGTAAGTGTCTTAGGCTACTGACTCCAGGTCCAGTGCTTGATCCACCATGCCCCTTGGCTGACCACAAGGCCCAGTGATGGAGAATGTACTGTCTCAGAAAGCAAGTGGGCTCTACCTGTGAGGCAACTTTCCCCTGTCTTAAGCCAAAATCTTCCCCTGTGTTTCTACCCATTGTTCTTAAGTCGTTCCTCTGGAGACAACCAAAAAATTTCAAACCCTATTTCATAGATAGCTCTTAAAACACTCGAAGCTATCTACCATGTCTTCTCTAAGTTATCTCTTCTCCAGGCTTTTGGGGGTGGGGACTGGGCCCACTTCTTCAAACCTTTTATGGCATGATTCCTATGCTACCCACCAACCCAATCCTTGAAACCAAATGAGGAAATTAACATTTATTCCTATTAAATTTAATCTTGTTCATTTAGGCCTTTGTCCTAGCCTACATTAAGATCGTTTTTGTGGTGGTGATGGTGGTGGTGGTTGACGGTGGAGATCTCGATTCTGTCATCTGATGGTTAGCTATCCTTCCCAGAAATGTACCACTGGAAAATCTGATGAGTTTGTAACAGTGACCACAAAACCAGTAGAGTACTGCCTGGCAGAGACCACATGAAATCCACGGATGGCAAACTCAGCAAGAACCACACAACGACAAGAGCAGAAGACCTTGGTGGGCCTACAGTGTCAGATCCATGTGCCCGTCTACATGTTTCCCCAACATGTGTGAACTCTTCCCACTAATAGCACGTGTATTTCAGGGGGGCGTTACCATGATGGAAATATTCCATCACCATGCTATTTGATTAAATGCCTTTAATTTGAATTGTGTTAGTTGATTGAACCAGGAAAAGTGAAGCTATCAGTGGAGACTTGTGAACTATATTTTTTTTTTCTGAGTGGATAGAAAATCATAGAGTATTTTGAGCCTTTGATAGCCTTCTCTTGGGGCCCTGTTGGGTGCTAGAACTCCCTTTTGCTCAGGGCAGTTAAGAATATTCTCTAAGTAACTGTCTGTGAGTTAGAAAAATCACTGCTCCAACTTCTGCTCCTGACATCTCTTCAAGATGGCCACCCGTCACATTATCTAGCAGAGGTTCCCAAACGTATTTGGCCTACCGCCCCCTTTAAAATAAAATTACTTAGCACCCCCATGGAAATCTACTTTCTTTAACCCTTTAACATTTCAAAAATATACATAAATTTTTTAAAAAATCTTAAATTTAATAATTCATTGTGAATTTGTGGGTTTTTTCCTGCACTGAAATTTTGAAGATGCTATACTGCATCATATAACCATGTAGTATCATATTGTAAACAAGTCATTACACACACATATTCCTGCCAATGCATTCTGGACTTTCCAATAATGTGCCAACATGCTCCCCTGCCAACACTTCTTCGTTAAGACCTGTCAGCAGACTTGACCACTGATGGATTATAATTTGCATTTTGTGTATTTATTTGGAAAATAATGTAATGCTATGACTTTGACTCTGTTACACAACAGACGAAACATGCATGAACAGTTTTTCAAAATTTTCCTATCTTCTCTTCTTTCCTTATGCTTCCACTGCCCCCTTATTTTTATTCAACACCTCCCAATTGCACCTGAGTCTACTACTGCCCTCCTGGATCATTCCAGCACCCCCAAGGGGGCTGTATCACCCACTTTGGGAACCTATACTCTTATAGGGTATGAAAGATACAGGTGCTTTGGGAATGTGAACTAACCAGCATTCAATATGGATGCCCTTGAACCATATTGAAAAAAATCCGATATAGTCAATTATACTTCTGGGGACTTTTGATACCGGAAAATTACTTTTATCTCAAAGCAAACAAAATAGGGGTAGAATTAACTACCTTGTGGAGGTAGTGAGCTCTCCATCACTTTTCTTCACATTCATCTTCAAGGAGAGGCTAGGGGAACATCGTGTCCTGGGTGGTCTATAGGTCCAAACATATTCCGTAGTAAGATCCTTCAGTGACCCCACTTTGTCTTTGACATTTGATGAATGTGTGGCATTACTGAGAGGACCCAAAATACCCTTGGGCTGAGAGTTAGGAGACCTAAGTGCTAATATTGGCTTTTCCCCTAACCTGCTGTGTGACCTCGGATATTCATTTCACCTTTATTGGCAATAGGTCCTTTGTCTGGAAAGTGACAATAGAAATGCTTACAACTCTATACATCATAGAATCAATCCTATGATGGAGGCATTTTGTGACCCAGGACTCTGAGCCAAGAATACCTAACTCAAATGTCTTACTTTTTGTGTGACCCTGGACAAGTCATTTAACCTCTGTCTGCCTTGGTTTCATCAACTGTAAAATGGGAATCATAACACCACCTACTTTGCAGGGCTGTCGTGAGGATCATATGAGATAACATTTGTAAAAACAAAAAATATTTAGCACAGTGCTTGGCACATAATAGATACTTAATCAATATTTATTCCTTTCCCTTCTCCCTCCCCCCTCAACATGAAGCCCATTTAAAGGGTAACCACCTAAAGCAGGTACCAACATTTTATGGCAAATAGTGGGGGATAAAGCTTGAGTGAGCCTGTATGGTGCAAAATGAAAAAGAAAATTGTGAAAATAAGTTCATTTAATCTTATATTTAATAAAACTAAAGTTATAATTTGCAACTAACTGCTAATCCTTAGAATGAACAAAGAATAAGCTAAGTGTTGCTTGGTAGGGCTTGGGTGGGGACCACAATTTGTCTGACAGAATTGCACAATAGCATATGATGTCAACCTTTAGTTCACATTGTATTTGTGAAGTCCAATTGTTAAGAATGTCATTGTCACAAAAATATTTGAGAGTTTTATCAGTTTTTCAAAAGGCCTCTCTTAATCCTCTGGTATTCAAAGTATTCTTTTTTGAAGTACCAGTAGACAATTAGTGAGAGACTGATTAATAAATATATTGAGCTGATGACAATTAATGAGAGGCTGATTGATACATAAGTTGACCCAATGGGTGGGGATGAGTGAGAGTAGATGCTAGTGTTTCAAGGAGGAGAGATATTTGAGGAGGGTCTAATTTTATGAGGCATCAGCTCATTAGTGAATATTTTCATGTTAACATAACGTTTGCTTTTCTATACAACCTTGAAGAGAGGCAGCATGGTAGAATGGATGGATAGCCCTCTTTGGAAGTAGGAGGACTTGGATTTGAGTCCTGTGTCTGACTGTGTGAGCCTGGGCAAGTCACTTAATTTTCTACACCCCTGGGCAAATCTCTAGCATTATAAGTTATGAAATATTGATAGAGGGAATTTGTTTACTGGGAGTTCCTCAGACCAATGAAATCACAATTCCAGACCAAAACAAATAGCAATTTCATGAGTGTGAGGATTCAGTAGCAAGAAATGCATATAAAATACCTTGTAACCATCCAGAACTTCAGAAAGTCAATTACTGTTATCATTTAGCTATGTAAATGGTTGCTTCATATGCTCTCTCTCAACATTATGATTGGGGAACATATAGTAAAGTTATTTTACATGTGACATTTGTCATGAAGCCTTCCATCTTGAATGTGGTGAATTTGACATTTATACTGAACCTAGATAAGACTTACCTAGTAAGTTTTCATCATTATGTGTCATTTTATTTTAAAATTAAAGTGTAAATACTACTCATAATATGAAGGTAGAGCACCCTCGCTGGTTGGCTCTTCCAATAAAAGACAAGAAATAACAGAACTTCTTAGTCATACCAACCTATAGTCATCAAACTATAGATGATCAGGCCAATACTCGCTGACTCAAAGTTTCACAGTGCAAATTCTGTAAGAAAATTCCCTTTGAGAGAACATTCCATTTAAAATCCATCAAAATAAAACTTGGTAGATGTCATAGTCAAGTTGCGTCATCTGGCACTGGGTGACCTTTGGGAGCAATAGCACAATATCATGGATTACTTCAGTCCTTGCAGCAGTACTTATAGATGGTCATGAGTGACAGACGTCACCTGGCTGCACTGTAACAATATTTGCCATGGGGTTTCTCAGAAGGCCCATTGCCAAAGTGGTTAAGGTGATAGACACCAGGAATTTTTCAGGATTACGATGATCATAGAGTTGATATTGCCTATGATGTGGTGCAAACACTGGCAAGTTGAGTCCTTCATGAAGTCCTTTCTAGAGGGGACCTGGTTTTTGTCACCAAGAGTTTTCCAATGAAGGTCAATGGCATTCATACCGTTCAAGAATCCCAACTACAGAGCCACAGAATCATCATTTTGGGGCTGGAAGGGACCGTAAGAATCATCTAGTCTGACCCCCTCATTTAACAGATAAAGTAAGTGAGGCCTAAACAGATGAAGTGACTTGTGTAAGGTTGCACAAGCAGTAAGTGGCAGAGACGTCGTTAGAACCTAGGTCCTTTGAGTCCAAATCCAACATTCTTTTCATTGCACTATGCTCTCTGAAAATGTCAACAGGTTTCTCAGAGTATTTTGCAATGAAAAAGAGAAAACCAATGTCATTCAATTTAAATTCAGTTAATTCACCCAGAAGCTAGAAGTGTTCCTGTTGCTTTAAGGACAAAACCCTGAAGAACTTAATCATTTAATGAAACTATTAACGCATACTCAGTGAGTTATAATACCTGTGCCCCAATAATAATTCCTAATGGGAAAGAAAATATTCTGAAACTGGCACAGGCCTAATGTGGAATCAGCTGAATTGCATATAACTTGACTTGGGAGATTCTTGGAAACTGACCAATCAAGCCTACAAATGATCTGAACTAATTGATGCAACTCTTGTCGATACTTCTCTACAGAGATTAAAATGCGGGTGGGGGCAAGGGGTGGCAGTAGTGAAATGGAATTGGGCCACTTAACTCTGACCTTTGACTTGAATGGTGTGGAATCTTTCTGGTTGAACAAACTTGTTACATATTCACAAGTTGGGCATCTTGAGGTTCAGTGATGACTATGATATACCCCCTATGAACTGTCTTGCTAATATTAAACACCTGATAACCATGATGAGTCTCTTTAAAGTGCTACTCTAATGCCTCATTGTAGTGTGGAAGTGACCCTTGGTTCTCAAAAGCTATACCAGTGGAAAGCAAGTTCTACCATGTTGGAAAGGCTTCAAGTATGTTCCCAACAATAGACTGTGTCTGCTTTCTGAGGAGCACCCTAGCTAAGTAAACACACCAGCAAGATGGTAATAAATACTCATTGATTGATTGCTACTGCTAGAGGTGAATTCTTTGGCCACAGAAAACCATGAAACAAAGAAAATTGCAAAGTAGCCCTCAGTCTTGTGTGACTTCTTTACAATTCCTCAGTGATAGAGATAGATTGATGGAAAAGGTGAGGAGACGGTACCAAGAAAGACACTGTTTTTAAACCTACTATGAACATTAACTTAACTATCATTGCTTTAAGTGGGAAATTCTTGTCCAGTCCAAATTGAGTAGGAATAATACTGGAGGAAATTTATCATGCTGATCTTGATGTTTTCTTTATAAATGAAGCCAGAAGAAAAAAGGAATGTTTGATTAGATGGAATAAAATTGGCAGAATTGTTTTCATTTTGTAGTCAAAAGTAACAAGAGATATCATTTCAAGGCACATTTGGTCATCTTGTATTTATACAAAGACCTCCATGAAAATCATTGCAGTTTATGTGCTGACAGATAGAGAAATTTTGTGAAAAATTTGATAAGATCCTACAAATTAAATGAACATATCCTTTGATGGTTGGTGACTTCAGTTCAATAGCGAATAAGAGGGGAGAATGGCAAAAGTATGTAGAAAATATGGCTCAAGAGGAAAAAACAAGAGAGGCTGGACTGGTAGATTAAAAAGAAGCCACATGCTTCATGAATACTTACTTTCTTCTTTGAGAAATGCACTAGACATAGCGAACATCAACTAATAGCACAAAAATGGAATTCATTATATCCTCACAGGAGACCATTGGTTGCTAATATAGGGCTCATTTATGAATTAGTTGTCAATGTAGTCAGACCACTGATTTGTTAGCATAAAATCCAAACTCAATACCAAACTAGAAGAAAGAATAAATATGAGAAGAATATTGTACACAACCGTGGCAACTCCACCTGACCTACTTAAGCAAGCTG